GCTGCAGTGCACGCACGCCGGCGTGGGAGCGCACAACTGCGGGCACGAGGAGGACGCGGGCGTCGTGTGCAGCCACCAGGCCCCAGACTTGTAGGCGGAGCGCCTGTAAGGCTGGGTCCCGCGCTGCTCCTTCCGTATGCGCCAAGTCTAGCGACTGCGCCCCCCGCGGCTGTCCTGCGCGCCCATGCGCGTTCCCGCTTGTCCTGGGTGTCCCTTTTCGGTGTGCCTTCTGCAGACCTCAAGCCAGGCCTGAGTTGAGTAGCGATCATGGCCTCTTTTACCTCCAGCGTTGAGGAAGTGGCAGGAGTGCAGTTTGGACCCAGGACCCCTAGGACAGCGCCCCCCACACCCCCGCAAGCAGGGACAGAGCTGGCAGATTGGGAGTCTGGCCATGACTGTCCTGCCCAGGCCGGGAGTGGGAGGTGCCGAACAGCTGTGCGACAGGATCCAGGAGCACGTCAGGTGGAGCACAGTGAAGCCCTGAGGCTGTGCCTGCCCACGGGAGGGTGGAGCTGCCATCGCAGGGCACAGCAGGCTGAAAAGGCTGGAGCTGTCCTGGGGCCTCACTGTGCTGCGGAGCCTGTTTGAGGGCCCTGGGACAGAAGCCCCTTCCTGGCCAGGCAGAGCTTCCACCAGCCTCACCAGCATTGATGGACACAGGGACTGCCCGCTTCCAAGGCTGTGCCGGGACCGTAGGGCCATCTCATGCCCACCCCTGTCCAGGAATCCCAGGGGAGCCTCCGGTTCCTCCAGCCCCACCCAGGGCCAGCAGGCTTGGCACCAATGAGACTGCAGCACCATCACTAGGGCTGTGCCAGCAGTGTGGTGCCTGCCAGCCCTCGGGTCTCCTCTCTGGGCGTGAGGTGAAGGGCGGGGAGAGGGGCCCGGCCCGCAGCTCTGTTTTGCTGGCCAGGCCAGGGGGCTCAGGGACAGCAGGGCCGGTGGGTGGGTGATCAGACAAGTCCTGTGTGACAGGTGGGGCCTCAGAAAGGGGCTCTGGCTTGAGCTGGCCATGCATGGGGAGCGGGTGCAGGCCTGGTGCACGAGAGCTTGGGGTTGTCCTCACCACACTGAGGCGGGAGTTCTTGAACATCAAGGGGCGATCCCTTACAGAAATGCAAGACAGGAAAAAGAAAACGGGGCATGACAGAGAGCTGCACAGCTGCTGGCAGCAGGCTGGTGGCAGCTGGAGCTGTGTCCCTGCCCCAGGGACAGGCGTCCCCCTGCTCAAGGAGTGTGGCACTGGTAGATGCGATGGGGTGACCTGGGGGGTGGTGTGGGGATTGGCCGGCCAGCCCCTGAATGAGAGCGCCGGCTGCTGTGGGACCACTTGAGGCTGAGTGACAAAATCCTTTTCTGAGTTGGTGGCATTGGTGCAGTAGCCTGCAGGCTGGGGAAGGGCCAAGTCCCCCTGAACTTGCCACACTTGTTTGCTGATGAATGCTGCTGCTTCCATCTCCATTTCTGGGCCCTTCTGCATTTGACTGAGGACTCTGGTCTCCCGCCTGGCTCTTTGTGCCTTTGTGCTCCTCTGGGTTGGGGGACCCAGCCCTGAGCCTCGTCCATCCCCTTGGCTTTGCGTGTAGGTCACCATTAGTGCTGCCACTGAGTGTGGCCTGGGTACTGGGCTCAGTTGTAAGCAGCATACGGCACGGGTCTACTCCATTCTTGACAATCACAGCAGCAGAAATCCAGGTGCACAGCCAGGGCGGGGAGAGGCTGAGCCTTAGTGCCAACCCATGTGCTGCTGCGCCTGCAGGGAGGCACGGCCACCAGCTTGGCCTGCCCAGTGTAGCCATCTGCCCTTCTCAAACTCAGTGTGATCCTCCTGCCTCAGCCTCCTGAGTGCTGGGATTACAGGTGAGCACCACCATGCACAGCTTTCCCCCTATTTCCAGACTCTACCTTTCAGGCCTCAGAGGTGTGGCTGGACCTGACACCTCAGAAGGTGAGGACAGTCTCCCACCCCTGTTCCCACCCCCCTCCATCCTATAGATGTGGAAGCAGAGGGCCAGGGAGGTTATCACAGCCAGATGTCACAGAAAATATTTTCATTTGCATTGGGGCAGTCCCCTCCAGAGCATCAACTGCTGTCCCCAGGCACCAAGTTCCAGGTCTCCAGGGAAAGCTGAGTCCCACCCTTGCAGCCCAGGACTCTCCTTCCTCCCTTCTAGTTTCCAGTTTGCCTACAGCTGGGAGGGGGTCCCCACAGTGGGACAGCTCAGGTGCAGTTCTCTGGGCCCACTGCTGCAGGGGCTCAGCCTGAGGGCCCTATCCTGACACTTCTGCACCTCCTGACCCTTGCCACTGATGCTGTGCGTGCCAGTGCTGTCCACTAGGCGCATAATGTTAGCCAACTGAGTAGTGAAAATGTAACCACAGTAAAAAGTAAAATGTTTTTAACAATGCATTTTATTCTTCCCAACATATTAAAATGTTAATCGGTATTTAAAAATGGGTGTTTTTCTTACTTTTCCAGGTATCAAATTTATGAAATGCGGTATTTTATGCAGAGACAGCATCTTGATTTGGGCTAGCCGCTTTTCAAGTGGTCAGTGGCTACCATGTTGGATGGCGCTGGATGCCTTGCCAGCAATGGGCACGCGGTTGGCCCGCTGCCTCCGGGTAGCGCCCTCTGCTGGCGGCCTGCAGTGCTGCCTGCCCAGGAAGTGGGCCCTCAGCCCGGGGTCAGGGGCCTCGGTGTGCGCCCCCTCGCCCCATCATAGCTCTTTTGGGGCATCAGGTGAGAGGGCAATAGGACAGTGGATGTGGCACCGCGGACAGAAATGCTGGGGTGAGCCGCGGTCACGCCTGATGAGCCCGTGATTAACGCTCCCCTCTCCTCCGCCCTAGCTGGACGGGCTCTCACTGGTCCCCTCACCCGGATGCTGCTCCGTGCCCGCATCTCGTGGGCCCCAGAGCCGTTCAGGACCTGGCCCTGCCCTCAAGGGCCCTGGAGACAAAAAGGCTCCACTCAGTACCGCGGTCACGTCACTCTTGTCTAGCTAATCACCCCACCTCACCTGAGGTCTCGCAAGATCTGTACCTTCCTCCTCGTGTAGCCTCATCATCCCTCTAATCACCTCAAACCGGGGCGGGGGGGACCCTGTGACCTCACCAGCCTGTCTCGGGGGCGCGCCTGCGGCTGCTGTCGCGCCACACGGGGGCGCCGCGGCAAATCCTAGTCCCGGCCGGTCCAGGTCCCCGCGCGGAGACGGACACCCGGCTGCAGGATCTGCCCGGAGGGGTCCACTGCTGTCCCTCCGGTGCCCCCCTGGGGACCGGAATCGGGAAGCCAAAATCCCGGAGTTGGCCTCTTGTGCCACACCCGGGTGGAGACGCAGGTTGCAACAGGGAGAGGAGCCTCGGCTGTTTCGCAGCGGCCACTCGGGGCTCACTTGTAGCTTCCCTCGTGGCGGCCCTCGCTGCCCAAGCCCTGCAGCCTCCGGACCTGGGTCCACATGTCGGGCCGGGGCTGTCCCGGGTCGGGGAGGCTCCGGCGGCACCCGAGCGAGCCTTCGTCCTCAAGCTCAGGCCCCCGTGTGCGGCGGGGTCCTCGTCACCCGCCCGTGGGCCCCTCGGCACGGACAAGCCGGCAGTGGAGGCGCCGCGGGACGCCCCTGGGAATCCAGCTTTGGGGATCTAGGGCTCCTGGGAGAGATCTGGGAACAGCGGAGTAACCTGGGAATCGGATGGCTGGGATGGGCGAAAGGAAGGAGCCTAGGACCGCGCGCGGGGATTCGCCGTTATTTAGAGGCGCCAAAGGGGCGGAGCCAGCGCGCAGGACTTGGTGCTGCCACCCCGCAGCATGGGACCAGGACTCAGAGTTGCCAGGGACAACGCGTTCTGGGCGGGGCTGATGTGGAAGCGGAGCTTGATCGAGAGAGAGGAGAGAGAGAGAGGAGAGGGAGA